CTAATAAATACTTATTTTTTGATTATGGGACATTCATGGGACTCTGTAACTTGTAGCATTGAGTAGCTCACTGGTTTAGAGTCATAAGAAATCAATCTTCTGAAAGATTGGTACTGACGTTTAATGTGTTTGTGTAAACAAGAGTGAGATCTGATTTCATGTATCCAGTATATTTTATCTCTTTCAATAAATAAATTAAAAAAAAAACATATGGTGCAATGTTTTTCTTCCATATAAAAAAAAAACAAATATATTTTTTTTCTAATGTCTTATTTTTTTGGTTGATTGAGCTGATTTCCTGAACTGTGCACTGATGCTCAGACTTGTGCCAACCCCCTGATGGCCTGTTTTGTTTCAGACTCTGACCTGAGGGTGGTGCTGGTGGGTCAGGAGAGAGTTGGGAAGAGCTCAGCAGGAAACACCATCCTGGGAAAGAAGGAGTTTAACTGTAGGATCAGTTTGAGCCCTCTGACTTTGAGCAGTGAGAAGAGAGAAGCTGATGTTCTGGGTCAAAGAGTCTCTGTGGTTGACACCCCTGGACTGTTCAGCACTCGGCTGTCTGCAAGGGAGGTGAAAGCAGAGCTGGAAAAAGCTCTCCAGTTGAGTTCTCCAGGTCCTCACGTCTTCATCCTCGTCCTCCAGCTCGGACGATTCACCCCACAGGAGCAGAAAGGACTGAAAGCGCTGCAGAAGATGCTGGGCGCTGATGTCTCCAAACACACCATGCTGCTGTTCACCTACGGAGACCGACTGGAAAACACCGACATTGACATGGAAATGTTCACCAAAGAGGACGAGAACATCCAGCAGTTGCTGAAGAGCTGCAGCGGTGTGTACCATGTGTTCAACAACAACATGGAAAACAGGGATCAGGTCCAAAAGCTGCTGGAGAAGATAAATGACATCTGTGAGGGAGGACAGTCGTACTATGAGAGGTCTCAGTCAGTGGGGTCAGTCTGGAGTTTAATACCCAGATTTTAGATTTTAGGATTAAGCAGATGCTGTGGTCAATCTGCATTTCATTAGCCATCAGAGAGATTTATTACATCTGTAAGTAGTTATTCAGTGCTCAGAATAAGTAATTAACCTCCTAGGACCTGGCGTCCACATATGTGGATATCACATTTTTATTTCGGCCAAAATACTCAATTTTGCTCTACAAGGGCCTGATATCCACTCACAAGGACATTATACTGCTACTGTTCTATCAAAATTTTAAACAAATATCCTCATACGTGGCTCCCATTTCTCTTAGAAACAAAAATTAGGTTAAAAAAAATCTGGTATTTGTTTGTTTTTACATTCATCAGGTCCCAATCAGCCCAAATATCAAAGAGAAATTTAAAGTTTGGGTCTTAGGAGGTTAAAGTAGGTCTCCATAGATTTAATCTGATTAAATCTGCTGAGACACAGTTTGTAAATTTGCTTTGCAGTTTCTCACTATTAACATGTTTGAGGTTTAATTGAGTAGAAATGACTGCAGGAAATGAGTAAAATGCAGCAGGTTTACAACGATTTTTTTTAGACTGTTCTTTTACTGATTGTAAAACTGAAATATTATAAAACAAAAGTGTTTTGGCCACAACTTTGAATTCATTTTGGGGCTTTCTGATATATACATGTCAACCATGCAGCAGAGCAATAGGTACACACTGCGTTTTACAACACAAGCTGTGTGTTTGTGTGTCCTCCTCTCTTACGCTGAAAATCAGTCTGAAAGGAGCTGCCACCCACTTCTCTCCATTTGAAACAGTGCACACCTAAAGCAATCACTTTAGGTTAACCCATCCATTTTCTTCCACGTATCTTTGTCATGGTCATGGAGGAAGCTGGAGCACTTTTGTATAGTATTTTGGTTCTTTTATTTTATTTCTATTTCTATTTTTCTCTAATAATCTCTAATTTGTGTTTTTCTTCCTGACTATAATGAGTGGATTCCCCCAGAGCGGGATTGTATGTCTCTGTCTTATTTGTTATGTGTCCCTCCATTGACAATTGATGAATGTTAATTGATCCATGGTTGTAGAGCAATGAGCACAAAGCCAAGATGTGGTACTACTTTTACCATGTTTGGTTTTGTAAAAAGTTTTGTATAAAATGATCCTAAATATAGGTTTTACATGTTTTATGTTATTTCTTTCCTAGTTTATTTGTAAGGCAGTAGTACATAAAGACACTGACGGCTGCAGAGGTCGTGCCAGATCAGAATGGATCCAGTGACCTCTCCGCACTGTGTTATTTCCTCTTTCAGACTAAATCATCACAGCTTAGACAGAAAACAGCATCTCTCTCTCACTGACACCAAAGTTATATTTCCACCATCATGTCATGTTGGGTGAACTAAAATTCTTGTGCTGCCATCTGCTGGCAGCATTTATACAACACTTTTATAACAAGTCTCATTCACACCCACTCAGCAGTGAACCAGGGCTATGCTGGTAATCTTGCATACAGTGTGCTGGTGCATTTGTGGGCCGATATGTCCTATTTTTCTTTGTCGATATGATTATAAAAGCTGCATGAAGGGGCACATCACACTGGCCCTACAAGCACTGTTAGAAATCCGGTTACATCTTTTCCCCTTGCTTATTGCACCGTCAACCTGCTGTGTGTGAATGTCACAAAATCAATCATAAATTAAACCTAACTGGAGATCTGTATCCGTATTCTTTAACTTGAACTAAACGCTTCGCATCTAAACCTATTAAACATCCTGGAGACAAGGACTGCTCCTTTTTACTGATAGCAGCCCATTAGTTGTTTTTAATCACTGACACTGAATTGCCCAATCAAATCTCTTAAGGGAAAAAAGATGGAGGGACATAATTAGGAAGGGAGAGAATGCCTACTTTGACCATGAGCCACTGCTAATAGCTAAAGTCTAATGTTTAATTGTTACACTGCAGTGCCACTAACCCAACAACTGTACCAACCGGATAAGAAAAAAAGAAAAAGAAAAAAGAAAACTGATTCGATATCAATAATCAAACAGTAGTCCCAGCCTTAGCTGCTGTGCATCAACATTAAAGGTGCAATATGAATTGACTTCAGATATTGCATAGGGAGCAAGGGGGGAGCAGGTGTTTTGCACTTCAGGGCCACGATTATCAAACCTTTTGAGAGTGTGTGAGTTTCTGCTGCAATAAAACGTTTAAGAACTTCTGGTTAATGTAAGTAGAAAAAGATATATTTTGTAGTTTGTCTCTGTGTTGAGGTGGATCAGTGATCTTGTCTGTCCATGTGGAAAGACATGAATCACAGTGTACATTAGCAGTTGGACGGGCTCGGCTGAACCCCCAGCTGAAAAGGCATGATGCTGTAGCGGTTCTTCAGACCCTCCAGCAGAGACAGACAGTGACACAGGAGCCGCGAAGTGCTGGATTGGCTCACCTCCAGTTTCCAAAACCAGTTGGCCTCCAGTTTCCCTTAGCGTGACTGACCTGGGTCAAAGATGACAAACAGGATTTAACCTGAGGCGAGATGGACACTGAGGCTGATATCAAGTCACCGGCACATAGCTTTAAAAACCTCAGTTTTAGCTCTTGGTAAAGGTTCCATTTAAAATCAGCTGTAAGCGCCACGTTTCACTCAGTCTTTATTTGCAGCATGTTTTAAGTAGTGATATGATGGGCAATATATGTTTTAAATGAGAAGCCTGCTATACTGAAATCACTGAATGAAGAGCAAGCAGCTGCATTGTCTCGGGAACATGAATATATGAACATGAATCTGGTGATTTATTAAATATATAAATTGAATTATACTTGATTCTAATGTGCTGCTCTTAAGCTGATGGAAATGCAGATAACACATAACACACAAGAATGAATGAATGAATTTCCAATGAAGGAAAGCCAATACAGGAGAAATCTGAAATGAAACCCAGGGTAATTTGTTTCTACAATTATGGGCTGTGACAGGTGTGAGCAAACTGCAGCCTTCAGTCTGTGCATTTTGACCTGTAATTTAATATTCAACAGCACAATGGGATATTTGTGAACATTCCCATGAAAACACTTGACCTCCACCCTCTCTGCCTCCAACTATGTCCCCTGTCGAACCAGGCTTTGGTGGACCAGGGTCTGCGTGCAGCCCGTCATGCAGCTTCCAGGCTCACAGGAACGGCCTCCACTGTCAACCTGCTACTCTGGAATCACCGGCGATGGTCTTATGCAGAGAGCAGCAAGCAGTCCAGTCGAGAGATGTCCCCTCAAAGTTCCCCCATGCGGCTAGCAGCAGGCTCAGGACAACTGTCTGAGCCTCCCCAGACAGTAGCAGCTGCAACACTCATTCTGCTGTGGCCACTGGCATGCCTCCGCTGCAGGACTGTCACCCTCCCCCATCTGGTGCATCGTCACCGCCAGCAGACGAGGGGGCGGCAGTGCAGTGACCCTAACCAGCCTCTCCAGCGCTCAGCCTGGTACTGCAGTCTCTACAGTTGTTCCCTCTGTGCCGCTACTTGCTCACTATGGATGGCTGCCAATCCTGCTAGCATCTGCGCCAGTAGATAAACCAGCTGCGCGGGCCAATTGTCACGCATGACAAGCCTGGGTTTTGGCACCACTGTGAACCCCAGTCAGGACTTGTGACACTCCACGTGCTTTTAGTGAGCTTTAATTTGCAAGAACAGAGTTTGGGTTTTCACGTCCCACGTTTCCAGTCTATGACCTGCCTGCTTCCAACTGTCTCCATGACACTGATCTGTGTTAGTTCCCCTGGTCTCTCTGTCAGCCATGTCTTCTTGTTTATTAACCTTTTTGTCTTTTTCAAGTTTGTGTGTCTCAGTGTTCATGCTTCCTGTTTTATTTTGCATGTGGAGAGCACAGGAGAGCACAGCTGGGCGAAATCACACACAACAAAACCGCGGGAAGCAAAACATTATAGAGCAAGAGAGGATTTTCGTCATCATGCTCAGGACGGCTTCAGGCTGAGTCCTGTAAGGACACATGAAGCAACAGAGCTGCTGCAGCTCATGCTGATGTCATTTTCTAACATGTCAAAGCTTTTTATAAAGTGCATTTTAAATCTGCTTCAGTACTTCTGTGAAAATGAGAAAATTCTAAAAACATCCCAAACGCCATGGTAACTGATGTTTGCGATGAAAAACGAGTACGTATGAAAGCTGTCGGTGCTAATGTCTCTTTCTTAGCACCGACAGCTTTCTCTTTCTTCTTTAAATGGCTGTGTTGCGCTGAAGTGGAGAAATCCTTTGATTCCAGGTTTATCCATGTGGTACATTCGTGCATTTAACATTTTAAGCTATGTAGCAGCATTACATGGAAAATTTAAATGTAATTACATGAGTCAACCTTTTGGGTAGAAAATGTTTTTCAAGGTAGCTGCACACACTCTGACAAATGTTTCTACAAGTTACTAAATCACCCAGAATATTCTCAGGGCCATCACAGTGCTAAATATAACAGAACATGGCCTTAGGGATATCCCATCATTGAAAATAATTTAATCTGATGCATTTTAACAGACTGCTGTTAGACCTGCTCAGCCAAGGTGCTGTCATGTTACTCTCACAGTCTGATAAACAATAAAGACCAAAAAAATCAGGCTGTTTCTAGTTTTCCTGGTGAGACTGATGTTTTGCTCTGACCTCTGAGAGACTTCTGTGCTACGGCGCTGGATCTGAGGCTGCACAGTCATCAACATCCTTTAAATCACTGCATGCATGGCTTTAATCTCAGGTTTCCCTGCAACACTGTGTGATATCAATTTCTTAAAATTTGTTTGCTTTTTCTTTCTCATAATTTTATCTGGAGGTAACTAGCACACTGGTGCTATTTAAACAAAACTAAAATCCCTTGATTTTGTGCTATTTCTTACTTCTTGTATTGTCTGTTTTTGTTACTGTTTGCACTGGAGCACTGTAGCCCACATAATTTCCCCTAGGGATCAATAAAGTATTCTGATTCTGATTCTAAAGCATCACAGCTTAGTCTGAGAAGAACCTCAGTCTGTCATGTTGAACTACAAACAATGATACCAAATTTATATTTCCACAACCATGTCATGTTGGGAAAACTGCAACTCCTGTGCTGCCATCTGCTGGCAGCAATTATACAATGCATTCATGCACAAGTCAGTGTGCATCTGATTCACACCCACTCAGCAATCACTGTGAACCTGGGCTGTGCTGGTAATTTGGTAATATTAAATCTACCTGGACCAGCATCTGCCACCAGCAGACTGACAGGTTGGTGGAGTGGCTGAATAAGACTCATAAGTTTGTTCACGAGGTTAGACCCTCTGTTGTTTGCAGCACAGGAGGTTCCCCAGGCCTCCATAATTGTGTTTAACTGAAAGTTAAAATTAAAGAAAGTTTCTAGAACTATCTGGCTTTTTTATTTTGTTTGTTTTTTATTTATATTCTTCAAAATAACATGACACTTGGGATGATACATGCATTTGACCTTGACCTACCAATGTCAAAGTTTACTTTAATTGAACTCCTTCACAAACCTTTAATGTCTTCATTAAGGAAATTATTTCAAGAAACCATCCATGCTCTTCCACTTATCCTTGGCAGGGTCATGGGGGGCCAAACCACATCCCATAGCGTGAGAAGGCGGGTAATCTCTGGACGGGTCTGTTGCAGGGCTAACACAGAGAAACGGACAATTATTCGCACTCACATTCACACCTATGGGGAATTAAGAATTACCAAGAACCTAACCCCACTAACTGCATGGTCTTGCAAAATTACCCACTGCATGGAAATAGCTTAAAATCTCAAGGTTTAACAGCTTATAGAAGCCAAAAATGGATATGGTAAGATAATGAGTTGGGGGATGGCATTTTCCACAGCATTGTAAGATGATGAAAGATGTACCCTTGGGCCCCCTCCTTGATTCAGAGATGGTCTTTCCCTTTTCACGTAAATGGCCTTCTTGACTCAAACAACTTGTTTTGTATGAGTTGATATGTATGTAATCCTTTTTGTTATTTATTCCAAATGTCTACTATTTATATATTTTGGGTGTGGCACACCTATATTCTGTTGTACATGTACAATAATAATAAAGGGCTGTTCACTTCTGTTCTATCAAAACCTGAGCAGTAGAATGAGTTTCTGTAATTATTAGTGTACAAAAGTTATGGAGACAGAACAGTTATAAAAATAGTATGCATTTTATTTATGTATTTATTTTAATAACCATGTACTCAGTTTTGTTTTAGATTTATATCTTTCAAACAATGATCTGCTTGTAACTTTACATAGACAGTTACAGCAAAGTGCACATAAATAAGAGTAATTCAAACACACACTGCAATGTGTACTTAAAATAAGCTAAATACATAATCATGATACTTAATCAAACCCTGCCCTATTTACACAAGCACACCGTACCGTCTCAGCACATCCTGTTTCTGCAAGTAAACTGTCTTCAAACTACATTGCATATCTTCACAAAATCAATTAAACAGTCAATCCAGCCTACCAAAGTTGTATTTATATTATTCACACAAACCCTAGTTACCCGGTAACTAGGGTTTGTGTGAATAAACCCTAGTTTATTCACACACACCAATTGTTGAGACATTGTTTTGCTGTCTCCTATTCTGTCACTGACTCAAAGCTTTGAATCAGTAAAGCCATTTTCAATAAAACTGATGTAGTGGTTTAATACTGGTTCCTTTGAACACGGCTATCTAGCCTCTTAGAGACCAGGGAGTAGCCCCTTTTGTAACAATTCCTGATGAGTGATTCTTGCACACATCAGCCAACAGGTTGATGGCTGTTTTTGCCAGTCAACAGATAAAATCACCTGTGTTTGTGTCACTGCATTACACACCCATTTCTACTGAACCTGATAAATAACACGAAAAAACATTAACATTTTTAATGTAAAACTATTGCAACACTTTTCTAAGATCTGTGAGTTTTCCTGCCCTGACACATGATAACAGAAAAGCCTTCGAGCTGTGCTGTGATACACACCAATCTTACATGACCACGCCTCATGACTCATGTGAGACAAACCAGGAACCAGGATGCTATTGTTCCGTAGTAAACAGAGATGCACAGACGATCAGACCGAACTAGCAGCTTCCACTGAGAAAGTCCAGCTACAGGGAAAAAAGTGGAAAACTCCAACACTGCTGCTGACGCTGCACACACTGAATGTGAGTATGAACAAAATCCAAAAGAAGTCTCAATGAAGGTAGTAGAGGAGGGAGGGGCGCCAGGACTAACTGTACTTCTACTGTTTTCAGCATCACTCACAAACT